AAAATTCACCCAAAATTCACCCCAAATTCCCCCAAAATTCACCCAAAAATTCACCCAAAATTCACCCAAAATTCACCCCAAATTCCCCCGAAATTCACCCAAAAATTCACCCAAAATTCACCCAAAATTCACCCAAAAATTCACCCAAAATTCACCCAAAATTCACCCAAAAATTCACCCAAAATTCACCCAAAATTCACCCAAAATTCACCCAAAAATTCACCCAAAATTCACCCAAAATTCACCCAAAATTCACCCCAAATTCCCCCAAAATTCCCCCAAACCCCAAAAAATCCTCAAGGGGATCCCCCAAAAATTGTTTTTTATCCCAAAAATTCCCCTTTTCGTGAGGGAAAAACCAACTTTTTCCCACCAAAAAAGAGCATTTTTGCCCAAAAATCCACATTTTTGACGTCAAAAATCCACTTTTTTACCCCAAAATCCCCCTTTTTTTTGTCCCAAAATCGTGATTTTTTCCCCCAGAATCCACATTTCCCCCCGAAATCTGATTTCCCCAAAATCTTTATTTCTGTCCCCTAAAATTGGCATTTTGTTCACTCAAATCCCCCTTTTCACCCCAAAGATCCTCATTGATTCCAAAATTTGCTTTTTATTCCCCAAAATTCACATTTTCCTCCAAAAAATCCCATTGTTCGCCTCAAACTTTTTTCCCTGAAAAATCCTACTTTTCTCCCCAAAATTCCATTTTCCCACCCAAAATCCCATGAAAAAATCTCATTTTTTCCACCTAAAATCCACTTTTTTTTCTCCCAAAATCCGCCTTTTCTTCCTCAAAAAACAAAAAAAAATCACATTTTGCTCCAAAAATTTCCCTTTTCCCCCCAAAAAAGACTGATTTTCCCCAAAAAATCGCCTTTTTCCCAAAAAAAACCCCCAAATTCCCTCAAAATCTATTTTTTTCCCATTTAAAAAAATTCACTTTTTTTCACCTCAAATCCGTCTTTTTATCCCAAAAAAATTCCAAAATTTCTCTCAAAATTGATTTATTCAGCAAAATTTCAGGATTTTTTTTTTTAATTTTGGGGAATTTGGGAGAATTTTTGGTAAAACTTCTGATTTTTTGGGGGGAATTTGAGGAATTCCAGAGGGAATTTTGGCTGAAATTTGGGAATTTTGGGAGAAAATTGGAGAAATTTAGGAAAAAATTCTGGAGAATTTTTGGGAGAATTCAGGGGAAATCTTTTAATTTTTGGGGAGAATTTTTGAGAATTTTGGGAAAAATTTGGGGAAAAAATTGGGATTTCGGGGGGGAATTTGGAGGAATTCTGGGAAATTTTGGGGTGCCCATCCCAATTTTTGGGGGGTTTTAATGAGTTTTTTTTTATTTTTCGGATAGAAATTATGGGATTTTTGTGGAAATTTTGTGGAAATTTTGGGAAATTTTGGGATTCAGGCCAAGGGGGCGGAGCCTGAGTTAAGCCCCGCCCCCATCCCCGCCCACTCCCATATTTGTTCATATTTTGGTCATTTTTAATGGAATTTCGGGATTTTTGTGGAAATATGGGGAAATTTTGGGGAAATTTTGTGGAAATTTGGAGAAATTTTGGGAAATTTTTGGACTCAGCCCCAGGGGCGGAGCCTGCTCCAAAGCCACGCCCCCAGCCCCACCCACTCCCATATTTGGGCATAATTTTATTGTTTTTAATGCAATTTTTTAAATTTTTTTGACAGAAATTTCGGGATTTTTTTGGGAATATGATGGAAATTTGGGGAAAATTTTGGGATTCAGCCCCAGGGGTGGATCCTGTGTTTAGCCACGCCCACATCCTTCCCAATCCTATATTTGGCCATATTTTGCTCGTTTTTAATGCCATTTTTTAAATTTTTCGGATAGAAATTTCGGGAATTTTTTGGGAAATACGGGGAAATTTTGGGGGATTTTTTGGAAATTTTTGGGAAATTTTGGGATTCAGCCCCAGGGGCGGGGCCTGAGTTAAGCCCCGCCCCCATCCCCACCCACTCCCATATTTGTTCATATTTTTCTCGTTTTTAATGCCATTTTTAAAATTTTGTGGATAGAAATTTTGGGATTTTTTTGGAAATTTTGGGATTCACGCCAAGGGGGCGGAGCCTGTGTTTAGCCCCGCCCCCATCCCCGCCCACTCCCATATTTGGCCATATTTTGCTCGTTTTTAATGCCATTTTTTTTATTTTTTCGACAGAGATTCCGGGATTTTTTTGGGAATATGATGGAAATTTGGGGCAAATTCGGGGATTCACGCCAAGGGGGCGGAGCCTGTGTTTAGCCACGCCCACATTCCTTCCCACTCCCATATTTGGCCATATTTTGCTCGATTTTAATGCAATTTTTGTTATTTTTCCGACAGAAATTCCGGGATTTTTTTGGGAATATGATGGAAATTTGGGGAAATTTCCGGGCTTCAGCCCCAGGGCCAGAGGCGGCGCCGCAGCTCCGCCGCCAGCAGCTGCCGCTGGCGCCGGGCCCCGCCCCCCCCGCCGCGGTTCTCGGCCGCTCGCCGCGCCAGGTACGGGACCCCCCCCTCCGGCGCGCCCAGCGGCACCGACTGGTAAACCGGGAACCCCCCCGCGGCTGC